TTAACTCTTCGGTTTAAATTCAAAAACTGACTCTGCGGCAAAGCCGCCTAATTCTTAATGTATAGTTAAATATATATAGTAAAATCTAAACACATGCATAACTGCTGGCTACCCAGCCACATACCGTATTCTTATTTGGGTGCAGTCACACCATGACCATCTCGTGTGACACACACACCTGTTACCAGGGTACGTGCAACCCCGTTACACTCTCCCCCATTAAGATTGAGAACATTTACAGTTCCAATCGATTGTTGCCTCAACGATGCTTGCGTGTCCGCTAGTCACTGTAACTTGGTTCGTTGGAACAAAACAACTTCCGTGCTCAATGAGCCCTGTATCAGCGACACTAAAATCACCAAGTCTCGCTGGTCCTGTCAGCACACACGGGCAGAGCCCAACTTCGTCTCCCGCACGCGGTGCAATGTCGGACAGTGCATCCGCAGCACCGAGGGATGTACATCCTAGGCTCGATGAGCACGAGCGTCACGCTCCGCGCACGCTATCAATGACGGGTGACCTCGTTGAGGATGTGAATGTGATCGACGAATCTGACACTCCTTTTCCCGTGTGGGATGAAGAGGAAGGCAAGCCGCGCTAGCGGCGTGATACGAGCCCTGCTTGCGCCTTGCGAACCCCAGGTCCGTTTCCTGACGTCTCGTCACCTGAGGGACGTGGTGTAATCACCAAAGACCTCGACGGTGCACAGAGGCAGCAGCTGGAAGCTGCCCGTAAGGCGGCTCTGATGCGCGCCCATCCACGACCGGTCATTGACCCTCGTGTGGAATATGGCTTCCGCTCGGCGGATCCCGCTGAGAAAGCGAAGAACGCGGTAACTCGATCGTTACGCGTTCACATCATCGGACCCCCGGCCATAACGGAAGATGAGCTTGCCGAACGGAAAGCTCTTCGAACTCGTTTCTTGGCTCCACAAGAATTTCCGCTGGTAGATTATCGCACTCGTCTGAGTGCTCAACGAGGTGGCTCCCATGTACCTACAATGCGGA